AGCTTAATTTAGAAAAATTCAATCTCGATACAGAAAAATTTGACATAGATAAATTTCAAACAAAATTTCAAAATACAGAGAAATTTATTAATTTTCTCTATATTTTAAAATTTCTCCGATTTGCTCATAATTTTTTTCTGTTGTTTCACCAATAACTTTTTCATTAATCATTAATGCCAAATCATCTTAAAACATCTCTCTCTCTCTCTCTCTCTGTTCATTTGTAGAGAAGCCATAGCCGTTTCTTCCTTTCCAATCACTCCAAATCCCCATTTTTTTTTGAAATTCTCACTCTACACTTCTATCCCACCAAAATCTTAATTCACATCATAATTTTCTCTCTCATTCTTACTCTCAAAATTATATTTTTGATATATCTTTTTCTCATTCTATAAATCTTAATTTTGGCCATTAAATGACGGTTGTGACTACAAATTGTTATCTCAAATCGTAAAGTTTGTGGGTGTAACGCCCTCAAAATAATACATAACTCCCACATCCAATCCTTCCATAAACATGATAGATAGTTTACATCTCCATACAAACATCAGAGTTAATATTACAAAAGTGTATTTCATATTAATTACAAATGTTTACAAAAATAATAGAATGCCTGCAGGCTTACATCTTTCTAAGTTGTTACTTGGTCAATCAAAAGAAGAGTTATAACTCTTTACAGGTAAAGCTCTCGGCTTGCATTTACATATAATCAACAAAATAAAATAACAAAGCAGAGTCTTCAACTCGAAGACCTCCAAGTAAAGATCTTGAACTTGACACGTCACCTGTACCTTGAAATTCTGAAAATGGTGTCCCAAGTAGGGTGAGCCAAAGCCCAGTAGAAATATACTAAACCCAATATGAGAAATAACTAAAACATTATCACACAACAAATGATCGACACGTATAAACATTATCATACCCTTCTCATAGCCCGACAACAATTACATCCATGCTACCATCCACTTCCCTTATTTGTCCAGATTAGTACCTAATTATGGTTCAATATCTAACCAAACAATTTAAGTAAGACTACCACTCGACTTGTTAATTCTTCCGTTACCCATGATCTAAAATGAGACTATATCTCACGTAACTAATACTTCACTTTATAAGGTCTCGGGACTTTCACCTCGGACGCCTCGGCCAACTTAATTATCTATGGAGTACATTCCCTAACTCCTCCCAAATAATGATACATATACAATGTATTTAAACGTATAACCACCTATGGAGTACATCCCATATCTTCTCAAAAACATAGATGCACAAACAATGTGTTAAAGTATATGAACACACGTGTGGAGTATATAAATAATGTGTTAAAGGATATGAACGTATATGGAGTACATCCCTTATCTCCTCCCAAACAAATATATATAAACAATGTGTTAAAGTATATGAACACATATGGAGTACATCCCATATCTCCTTCCAAACAAATATATATAAATAATGTATTAAAGTATATGAACACATATGTGTGTGGAGAACATCCCCTATCTCCTCGTACACATTAGAGTACATCCCCTATCTCCTCCTAAACAAATATACATATATAATGTATTTACGCAATTTATCTCATACAATGATCAATCAATACACATATTTGCTGTATTATTCCAACCGTCTCATTCAATGACATAACACGTTTGATTAGTTTCAATTTTCCCTAATCAACATACAGTGTCTACAACAATTAAGACTATCCTCCACCGATAGCCTAAAGCAGTTATCTCTAAACAAATAACAAATTCATCAACAGATAAAATATCGTCAATCTCATAGGTGAGTGATTAAATTATCCAACTACACAATTTACTCCCACAATTTTCCAATTTCATTATTCTCAACTCAATTTCACATTTTCCCAAATTAATTATTCAAATTAATTATTCAACATAAATAGGGCATTTTCCCCATTTTCTCAATATCAACCTTAAGGTTCAATTTCATCAATTTGACAACAATAACTCCATTTTTCAAGGTCTCTCATACACATAGAGTTTAACATTTGAAAACCCACTTTTTATAACCACCAAACAAACCCTAACTTTCCCAACATTACTAACTAATCAAAATGACTAATATTTATGTCAAAACTCATAAGAAGGAGTAGATCATCCCTACCTCAAAGTTAGAAGCTCAAAAGAGATGAGGAGAAAAACCATAGATGCTCCAAATGTAAGATTTTTCGGATCAAAGTGAAGCCCACCCCGAGCACAACCTTTCTTGCAAAGGGACTAGGCTAGAAACACACTAGAAGTAGATCAATCCCTAAAGAGAAGGTAAGTGTAGAGAGAGAGCGAGCTAAATCTAGGGTTTTGAAATCAAAAGAGATGAAAAAGTGAAGTGTAATCCCGCTGCTGACTACTGATATAACACAGGCTCGCTCGAGCGAAGAAGTGGTCGCTCGAGCGACCAAACACAAAGAATCCTCGCTCGAGCGTAAAAAGCCTCGCTTGAACCAACAATCCAAACCTTCAGGTCTGCAACTCAGAAGCACGCTCGAGCGACAGAATGCTCGCTCGAGCGAAGAAACCCAAAACATAGACCTCGCTCGCTTGAGCGAAGGAAAGCTCGCTCGAGCCAAGAATCAAAACCATCAGGTCAAAAAGAGACGCAGACGCAAGCTCGAGCGCAGGACTTCTCGCTCGAGCCACCAGATACAAAACTCAACTCTCGCTCGAACGAAAGATCTAAAACACAGAGCTCGCTCGAGCAACAAAAGGCTCCCTCGAGCGAAGGACCAAAATTATGGGCCGCAACCATTTGCTCCCAATCACACCCAACCTGTAACAAACCTGCCCAAAACATCCTACAACTCAAATACAAAGTATTGAAGGACGGAAACAAGATATATACAACAATCAACATCCACGGAACCAAGTCCGGCTTACACTAATCAATGGAGGGAAAACTAGGGTCGCTATAGTGGCAAAGTAAGCGGGTCTCATGATCGAAGGAAGCCTAGTTCTGAAATTGAACCCCGTCGGACTCCACTACATGCAATTTAGACTTGAAGCACTCAACGAGCTTGAGGGACTCCTCGTTGGAGCTGTAATTGATTATCTCCGTGCTTACGTCTACATGAGAGAGTTGAAAGGCGCGGGGAGAAAGAGAGAGAGAGAGAGAGAGAATGAATGAATGTTGAGTCGGTTAGTATGAAGAAACGGGTAAGGGATTTTAAGTTCCAAAAAAAAAAATTTATTTTTATTTTTTAATTATCATTTTTAATTTCTAATAAACTAGGGATAACCAACGTGGACCAATTTGCACGCCATGCCTCCATGGTTGACTAGTGTGAACAAAATACTAGCCGTGTTGTGTATGGTGCTCCTGATGAACCAATGAAAACAAAACAGTAATTAATATTAGATAGATAAAAAATTAAAAATCAAATATAACAAACTAAATATCAACAATTTTGTAATTGAATTACCATTAACACTTAAACTGTGTTTGGATTTCAAACTTAATAAATACATAAAAATATAATTGTAATTACTTATAAATGGACAATTTTTATGAGTATATAAATAAATAAATTTACTAAATAAAAAAAAGTAACAGTAGGATGTCACCCTTGATAAATTTTATTGACCTCAAAGATCTGAACATTATATGAATTTGGTCTGTCTAAAAAAATATAAATTTTACAGTACTATTAATATTAATATCTTTAGAAAGGTGCAAAAATTTAACAGTAAGCATAACAGGAAAAGAAAAAGCTCATACATCTCTCCAAGCAAACATGAAATCTAATGTAGTTATTAAAAAGTAGAATAATAATGAAAAATATATAAATAGAGGATATATTCATCAAAAGATGATCATGACATAGGAAAGAGATATGAACATAGTATTCTTCCCTGACCGAAAACTATGACACTTCCTGGAAAGGCTAAAGAAAATATCAAGTAGGAAATCAAGATTTAGGGGAGAGAGAGATATGAACACACGACACTTTCCTTTGTCAATTAAAATCTACTCAAAAATAAAGGTAAAGAAAATATCGACCAAGAAATTTCCTTTGTCAATTAAAATCTACTCAAAACAAAGAGGAGAGAGAGAGAGAGAGAGAGAGAGAGAGAGATTAACCACATTCGCAACAAGTGCACCAAAATAGATTTTATTCAACAAATCTATTTTAGACACAATATACTACAGCATAAATTATAACACTCACAGGTTGGCTAACTCTGATTATGTACACTCTTTTGTTCAATCTGTGCATTTCATTCCATCTCATTGATCTAAAAGAGAAGACATAAACAATGCATCCATTTCATCCCAATGATCTCATAACCCTAAAACAAAAATAAAAAAAATACTCAAGTAACATAACATGTATACCATTCCATCTCAATAACCTTTTAAGCAAAAAAAGCATAAATAACTTGTGCTTAAATGGACTCTTCTATTTCATCCACAATGACCTATGTCTACCAGGTACAACAAGAGTAAGGGTGTAGGATATGTTTCTAAAATCAATACCTAATTTAGATAGTTGGTTCCTCTAATTTCAGATAATATTTGAAGACGAAGAAGAAGCTCACATTTGGTAATAAAGAAATATTTCTAAACTCTCACAAGGATTAAAAATAAAAATAAGAATAAAAAATCACTATTTTTCTTAAATTTCTAATTAATTTTAAGTGCATTTCAAAAAAATTTATATCATATTATCTAAGAATACATATGCAAGTGTTCACGCTATCTTCTCGTTCTCATACCCAACTTTTGGATACATATTCATATATTTTAAGATTTAACTTTAAGAACGAATAAAACTTTAACACTTACCCACGCTCGATACTCGTACCTAAGTCCATCTAAAATAACTTGTACATTCCATTCCATCTCAATGGTCTCATAAGCAAAAAAAGAAGGCATAATCAGCGCATAGAAAAAATGGTACCTCATTTGACAACTAAAAGCTCCCAAATAGAAATTACATCACTTTGAAAGAACAATAGTTTCTACATTCCATCTCCATTACACATGGATTCAATCAACATGGTCTGATTTTTCATTTGCTTGTTACTTGCACAAGACTTTTGTATAAATGCATTGGAAAATCAGACAAAGTAAAGAAATGCCAACATATTCAACCCTTTCCCGACCTACAGCAACAAAAGAAATATTAAAATCTTGAACTACAAGATATATGAAGATTCCTTCCCATAGAAGTCTCGTGCTTCTGACTAAACTCAAGGGAAGAAAAAATCACCTGTACAATGGCCATCATTTTGTGGGCATCATAGCTCACATCGACAGCCTAATAAAGGACAAACCTTTTACTCAACAGCAAAAGCTTTCATGCCCTATGAAGTATAAGCCCGGTTCATGCCCTAGAAATTACCAGTTTCAACGAGTTCAGCAATTTGAAGTAACTTGAGGACCTAATTTTTTTATATTGAAAACAAGGGGGAAAACATAAGAGAAACAAACTGTCTGATTATTCCAGAACAAAGAAAATTTTCACTCTAGCAATGAAGAAGAAGAGGAAAAGGAAGAATGGGAAGGAGGAAGAGGGAACTCACCACAATGCATTGAATAGAGATGAACCATCTCCCAGTCTCAAATCTTTACAGAATGAAAAAATGTCTTTGTGAGTGCTCTGAGTGGTTGTGATAGAGTGCTCTATCCAATGAAGCAGTGACCCAATGCGGTTGAAAGAAACGGTAGCCAAATGTTGGTTGAATACTGGGGCCTGCAGTGTGGGAGGCTATGTAAGACTAATGAATAAAGAAGTAAAGAATAGATGGGAGAAACCAATTTTTTAAGTTATAGAGCCCTGGATCGTGAGCCTACTTGAGCTAAGTCATGGTCAATTCAGATCAGCTCAATTATCAAACAAGCCTAGGAATGTGGCTCGATCTCGGTCATTTACTAAACGTACTAAGCTTGAACGAACCAGAGTATGAGCTATTTATAAACAACTCAATACGTTTGCCACCCTACTTGAGGTCAACAATAAGAACCAAGTTTCACCATTTCTCTTTATTGAGGGCCAAAATGCCAATACCTAAATATTACACAATAAAAAAAATATGACGATAAATTAATTTTTCAAATCTAATGTCTTTCAGACACTTCTTTTTTTTCTTTTTGATAAGCAAAGATTTATGAAATAAAGCACAAGGGGGTAACATCCGTGCACACTATATGAGGGAAAACAAAACACCTATATCAACTATTAATCAACATTACTCAAAAGACTACAAAGTCCAAAAAATGGTTCAGCACAGATCAACTCCATCTGAAATCCAACTATTCAAAAAAACCATTCTGTCACTTCTCAAATTACATGATTCAAGACAATACTATCTTATCAAATTCTAAAGAGTAGAGAAAGTGTCAAAAAATCACTTGATTAACATTTCAAACAACCTACTCGAGTCAACTAATTTACAATGAAGAGTTGTACCAGTAGGCCAACCTATCCAGCCATGAATTGAACAGCACTGTGACAACATAACCACAAACGAGAAACAGAAGTCAATTCATCATACGATTGAAATTGCAACAATGTGACCATAAACATGTATCCACCAAGCACCAATTTAAGCCAACAATGATAGTAACTGAAATTACAAAGTAGAAACAAAATGAAAGAGTTTCCAACCATAATTTACAAAGTTGTTTCCCCAAGGGTCTCACATTAAACATCCCAGACGTCGTTTGAGTTAAACAAAAAAGGAAAATGCCTGCTCAAATCAAACTTACAGAGTATGTCTTAGAGTGAGCTACATAGTGTATTCACAAGCATTACATGTAAGCATGCTAGAGATGTGAACGTTCTCTAATTTTTTATGCAAGTTTTTGGCCAGACTACTTTGGGTATGACACATCCATGACCTGATATTCCGCAACAAATTTAAATGATAAATTAAGAAATCCAAAGAAAAGTAATTATTGCAAGAACAAAGCTGTTACACAAATCACAATTTGGAAATGATAATTTAGAACCGACAATGCAAAATTAATTGAAACCAACCACTGCCTCCAGATTTCTGATCAGATAGACAGCCTGGCAAAAAGCAACTCCAACTCCTCCTCCTGTGATGTAGTTCTCTGGAATAAAAGAGCATCATTATTATATGTTATATAGATTATTGTATAAGGGAAACATGAACAAGCAATGTAAATTCTCCGATAGATTTAACAAACATGCCATCTAAATTTTAGTTCTTCTTTGGGGGGAAAAAATGCATCCAGCAATTTAACCTACTACTTTATTAGTGTAATATCTTCTAAAACTCAACAAACACTAGATGTTCGACCATTTGACTTCTCAACATTGATACATAAGCCACTGGAATGGCCATATATTGAAATTAACGCATTGACTTCAAGAACAATGGGGATCCATCAATCCACAAATGAATCTGAATGAAACACAAGAGTCACCAACAAACTAAAAATCATTTATTCAAGAATTTAGTGAGAACATAAGCTAAATTAGTGGCGGGTGAACATGCGATGGATGTGCATGCGCATCGCACGTGCGTGGGTCAGTAGTTTATGAATGAAAAAGATGAATAGAAAGCATCCGTGTTTGTGGACTTTAAAATATTTGAATCAGTTTAAATTTTTCATATGAGCAGTTTTCTTTTCTCACATAGGCAATTTTCAAACTCATAAATTGTGATGGACATTTTTGGAAAACCAAAAAAGTATGACGAAGCTTTAAAAAGTGTTCACTCCAAATGGGTTGTACATTTTGTATAATGGTATATATAGCATGACATGAAAACTTAAAACTTCTTGTAAGAACAGTAGAAACCAGAAGACATAATGAACTTCAAGAAAACACCATAGCATCCCAAAAACAATCCACAAGAAGTCAAAGATATGGATAGGAAGAAGCATCATTATCCCGACCATATCCCTGCACTCAAACCTAGGAGTAAGGAGAGGCAGCCTTTAATTGTAGCCGATACAGAGACAGATAGGTTGCTACTAGAAAAGGGAAGCAAATTCACTTCTCCTTATCGAGCTAATAGGCACCTTAAGAGATCATGCTTAGTATCATCAAAAAACGAGATCTAAGGGGAGGACTCTTGGGCCAAACCTATCGTCACTTGGGCAAGGAATCCACAAAGGGGAGCTCAGCTTAGTACTAATGCAGTTGCGGACTCAGAGGTGCTGATACCAAGACTAGAATAGGAATGCCCCTTTTTATGCATGGCGCAAGGAAAGGAAGAGCAAACTGACTTTCACTAATCTTGGATCAGTATTTTTTCCGATCTTCCACTAAGAAAGGTATCGTCACAACAACTCAATTTGACCAGTAAATTACTCGGGGCTCCTCATGGTTTAAATATGTATACACTATGCATCAAGTTAGCTTCACCAAGTAATAGGTGCAACAAGTTCATTTATACAAAAAGAGAATGCAGTTTTATTTCTTTCAAGTTGATAAAAGATACATTAAAAAGCATGCTAATTAACAATTATAGACTGCTATGCACCTGACTGGGAAAAAAAAGAAAAAGAAAAAGTAACGAGTCAAAATTTCCTCACTTTCTCATATACAAACTCCAAGTTAATCTAATACTCAAATCCATATGTGCTGTTTGCAGGAAGTTTGTTCGTTCTCTTCATTTCTTCATGACCTGCTGCCTTCTTTTCTTCACATCCCATTTTCTTCCATCCATCTTTAGCCTGAGGGCTAGCACTATGCTCTTTGGGCTGAATATGAGAATTACTGCCCTCAAATTGTTCAAATGGATTCATTTTTGCAGTGAACGTGCCTATATAACATGATTTAACAATCTTGAAATTGCAAAACAACAAAAACATGACAATAAAAAAAAAAAAAAAAAACATTAGTTTGAAAGAATAATCTACCAAAAGTACACTGTTATTAAAGAAGTAACCAATAACATAAACCCTTTCGTATTCAATTAGCAATAATATAGAGGAAAAAGGGAACAAAATCGAAGTTGCAAGTCTTCTTGTTATCTTTAATTTGATATCCAGGGAGAGTAATTGAGGTTTTTTTTTTTTCCCGGGGCCCAAACAATAAAAACTTAATACTCAACAGAACAATTTCTCTTGTTTTCTTTTCTGAAGTTTCTCGGCGAACAAATGGAACCTGGAATTTGGAGGACACAGAAACTTACAATTGGTCGGAAACCTAACAATCTTCAGTGCGGCGTTCCGGAGACAGACACAAATTTCCTATCTTTCCATCATCGCCGACCAAAAATATTTTCAGATATTTTTCTTATTAGTACCTGGACCGACCCGTTCCAATCCCGAATCAAACTAGGGATGGCAATTTGAAACCGGTCCGACGGGGATTCCTGAACCTGACCCTGATTTAAGTGGTTTTTTTCTGAAAAATATCCCCAATGAGGAGAAGACGGTATCTGAAAATCAATCCCCTATCTGTTTCGGGTCGGGGACGGTGATCTGTGTTTAAGCCCCGGCCCGGCCCGATCCCCGTCCCCGAATTTCTCCGAAGTAGAATTACTTTTATACCCCTTATATATATATATAAAAAAAAAAACCAAACCGTGTATCACACACATTTCAACTCTCTCACTCTCTCGTTTCAACTCTCTCTCTCTCTCATTGTTCTCTCTGGCCTCGACTCTCCCTCTCTCTCACCGACGGCAACATCACCACCGCCGCTGGCCTCGACCCCCCTCTCTCTCACTCTCTCTCTACCCTCTACTCTCTCTCCGTCTCCTCAGCACAACCGCCACTGTCCGCGAAGCCGGCGTCGCTGTCCACCTCCGTCAACTCCGCCGTCCCTTCCACCTTCGTCGCTGCCCTCTCTCTTCCTGTCCGTCGAGTCACCGTCGTCGCCGTTACACAGAGATCTCAGATCTGTGATTATACTATAGATCTGGGTAATTATCTATAGATCTGATTTCATTTATAATTTCTATAGATCTGATTTCATTTATAATTTCTATAGATCTGTATACATGTAAATTTCATTTATAATTTCTATCTATTGTAGAAAATAAGAAAATGCTATAGATCTGTATGTGTTTTGTGTTTTGAATGTTGAAACAGATTTGGATCGGGGGAGTTTCGGGGTCGGGGAAACCCGATCCCTGTTGGGGGCGGGGATGGAGACAGTCATAGGTTCCCCGTCGGGGATCGGGGCCGGGGCCGGGGACATTTTCACAGTCGGGGATCGGGGACGGGGAGGGTGATCCCCGGCCCCGCCCCACCCCGTTGCCATTCCTAAATCAAACCATTTATTAGGCCATTGGCCCAGTTGACCACTACAAACAGTTAATGCCCGGGCCCCTTCTCTTTTTAGATGGACCTTCTTTTTTTCTTTTTAAATCTAATTAATTATAAATGCGAAAATAATTGGGAAATATATTAAAAAATCTTTTTTCAAGTGTTTGTATTTCAATTAGTCCATAAGTTATTTTTATATTCTAATAAGTCCTATTATTTGGACATTTGATCTGCCAAATTCTAATTCTCATATTTAAGAGATTTTATAGACATTTCTACCCTTACAAATATTTTTTGAACGGTTAGTAATTTGGAGATGTGAACATTCATATTTTACAATGCGAATATTACGTGTGAATATTCACATTGACATGTTAACATTCGCATTGATGGTGTAAACATTCACGTTGATGGTATGAACATTCAAATTACGAAACGTTCACAATGTAAATGTGAATATTATTAGGATGTCTTGGTAATTATGTCACCCATAGGACTTATTGAAACATAAGAAAATAATGTAGACTAAATGAAATATAAGTAGGTAAAAAGAAATTTATGAAAAAAATGTCCCAAAATAATTACATTCAATTATATAATTAGAGTCCGACACATAGCTGCAAATTCAACCATCAATAATCTAAATTTGAAACTAAATAAATAGCTACCTACAATCTCATAATGGATGAAGAATAATCAATATTTTATCATTGGCAATAATTGACTCTCTAATAAAATTGGCTAATTTAAAGTTGTTTTAATTATATGATTCAAATAAAATTTTCTGTTTGAATAATTTGATTGGGAAAATTGTTTCTGAAGTTATTTTATAATAGAAAAGTTTAGTTGAATCGCAGGGCTTAAGAGTAAAATAATGGAATTGGAGAGAAATAAAATTAGCATAATTTGTTTGAATGATTAAGGAGGTGAAAATTATTAAAAAATTATGAGAGATTAAGAGAAAATAACTTTTTATAACTCATTTTGATGAAGTTTAATCAGAAATCAAAATTATTTTATAAATCTTGTCAAAATACCTATAATTATTTATCTAAATACAAAACATTAAAAGTTAAATGATACATGTATCATCTTTTATTTATTATTCATCCATAAACAATACTGAAAAATCCCACTTATTTTACTTCCTATCATTTCTGTTATTAGTTAATGTATTGAGGCCTATTTTAGAAACATCAAGTTTTAATAATAAAAAAATCATTACAAAAAAAAAAAAGAAGTCAACTATGCTCTCTATTTTTTTACATATATTTTCGGAAAATGTTAAAAAATATTAAAAAATTTAATTCTCAAAACAATTCTAAATTTGTTATAAAGATTTTAAAGGGCGGACACTGGCATTTTAGAGACTAAGGACATCCACAGTGGACTAGTTAAATAGTGTGTTAGTGTTAGTAGCCAAAATTTAGTGGAGACACCGTAACTTTTGGGTTCACAGTAGAAGTGTTAAGCAGTGTGTTAGTGGGTTTTGTCAGTATCAGTTGTTAACTTCTTTGTTAACTGTGACTAATGTTTTAATCAACGAGAGAGAGAGAGAGGGGGGGACAGCAAGAGAAAGAGGTGGATGTAGGGAAGTGCCGTGGGGTAGTTCGGCCGGTCATCCCCCAGACATCCAGACCCTTCGAGAAAAAAAAAAAAAATTGCGTTGATTGGTTGATCGACCGGCCGAATTCTACTACCTTAATCTTCAGCAGAGCTTCCATAGAGAGAGAGAGCCTTTATTTATTTATTTTATTTTATCTAATATATATATATATACACACTTAACACACATTTTAACACATACTTTAACATATCCATTGCACCACCACTCACTCTCTAAAATTAATAAACTCTTAACACACATTTTTGGGTCTCACTTTTATCATTTTTTGTCATATAACACACTTTAATAAATAATTTTAGCCATCTCATTGTGGATGCTCTAAGAGAGAAACTATCGTCTTTGAGATATCTAGGAGGTGGAAGTGTAATTTTACCTAATTTATTTCCATCCCCTTCATTTTTTAATAATTTAGTGTTTTATTTATTTATTTAATTTTTAGGGATATTTATCACTAAATCTCATCTCACAAACAAGTACTCTAATTAGTCCCAAGTTTTTCCTATTGATCTATTAAGTCCTATTAGTGGAGAGTTTCTTTCTATGTGGTTCTATTTTTTTATTTTGGTAGTGTTTGGTGGACAACTATACTTTTTATTAATGTGACAAGTATGATATAATATTTCAATGTGACATGTATTAATGTGACACTCCAATAATGTGACACTAAAAAAAAATAAAAAAAATCCTTAGTGTACTTTTCCTAAATGTGACAACGTGGTAGGTATGATATGACTCTCCAAAACTTTTATTCCAAAAAAAAAATAAAATGAAAGCTCTTTGGTATATTTTTCTTTAATATGACAACGTGGCGGGTATGATGTGATACTTCAAAAAAATTAAAACTCCTTAGTGTACTTTTCCTAAATGTGACATGTGACACTCCAACGTGGCGGATATGATGTGATACTCTAAAAAATTAAAAACTCTTTAGTGTACTTTTTTCAAATGTGACACTCTGACGTAACGGATATGATGTGACACTATAAAATTCTTTAGTGTGCCTTTTTCTAAATGTGACACTCCAATATGGTAAAAAATGAGTCATTTCAAAATGATTAAATAGATCATAAAAAAATATATATATAAAACTATATAAATTATAAATCCAAAATATAAGATTTATAGGCCACCTCCTAATTTTTATTAATAAATTGAAGGTAGTTGTAACCTCAAATTACGTGCGGACCCCGATCAAAAGTCGATCAATCGCAAATCACACTGCACGTAACACGTACGAGAGTGTACGAAATCCACCAACAATTTTGCTCACACGAACATAGCCTAACGCCCCCACAAAGAAATAAGAGAAGAATAGAGTCTGACGCTTCTTTTGACATGTGCTTGTTTTAATTTAAAGGTTAAAAAATTATTAAAAAAATTAAAAAGCTTATAATTTATACCAAAAAATTAAAGATTCTATTTTCTCTTTATTTTTTACACATTGTTTCATAAAAAATGAAAAAGTCATTCCAAATATACTAGTTTATTTGAGAAATTTGGTCATAAACCCCTCCTAACTTTCCTTTGTTGTTAAAAGGATAAAAAAAATTTAATACTTTCAAAACCCCTTCATAATTATTGTAACAACCCCGACCTGTAATTAGCTAACTATCCACGATTTAGTACCCCTAATAAGTAATTAAGATGAAATCCTGAGTTAATTACTTGTGCATTGCATTATTTGTGTTTATATCTGTTCTGTGTAGAAATATTTGTTTGTGTTCTGTCTCGAATTATGAATTGAAGGCCTTATCGGCATCCGATCGCGAAATTAACTTGAATTACGTGTTAGTTGGAATTTTTGGAACTTTATGGTAGGTTTAATTGAAATTTGATTCGGAACAAATCAAATTAGAATAATTAATATCAATTGCCTAGCTTAAGTTAAGATTAATTAAATGTCCTAAGTAAGCCTATATAAGGCCTATACACACCACTTGAGTCATCTTTTTCTCATCATCCTTGAGCCTTCAAGAGATAAACACAGAGAGAGAGAGAGCAGAAAAGATTGAGCTCATCTTAGGAGAAGTGTAAGAGAATTTGGAAAGTTTGGCTTAAGACTTCAAACATTAACCATTGAGAGTGTAATTGGCCATTGAAGGTAAGAATTTAACTCTTTTAGTTTTGAGATTAAGTCACTGAGTACATGAATTCAAAGAATTGAGTTGTGTAGTGCAAGAATTGAACTTAGATGGTTGACCATGGGAGTGTACCATACATACATGCATATTTCATAGTAATTTGAAGTTATTTCCCAAGAAATTCCTCATGCATGTTACTAAATCACTTTAGTTTTGGGAATTCATCAAATTTCATGTCATTTTGAGTCACTAGATCATGTTTTGGAAGTCTTCAAGTCAAAGCAATACATCCATGTTATGTTTTCTAAGAATTGGGTTTTGTTTTGTACAAGTTTTTGGACGTTGATTTTGCGAAATGATTTA